TTACAATTATTATGCATGTTACGTATATGACATTTTCCTTTCATTTCACGCAATCAAATAATATTTAAAAATAATGTCGTGTCGCTTTTACATTTTAATATCCCGCGCATCGCGCGGGTGAGAATCTAGTTAATATAAAATCATACTTAGTATAAATCATACTTGATTACCAGGTATACCTTTTCCTTCATTCATAATTTACGAATTTAATATAAAATCATACTTAGTACCGAGCATAATTTCACTTTTCTTAAAAGGGCTCCAACATATTCTCTCGACTCTTGGCCACAAGTCCAGGTTTTGGTAATTCCATACCCGTTGTAATTGTTTCCTAATATCATGAACGGTTTCTCCTCCCACCCCCGCTGTCCCCATACGGCGGATTATTCAACAGTAGAGGGCTGTCGTCGCCGTTTCCGGGGTACGACGGACTACGGCCGACGTGGGGCCATTTCCGGGGAGTCATATCTGACTCGCTGGTTCATCCGGTCCAACCCGGTTTAGGGGCGCCGTTTGGGCTCCAATTCGAGCTGCAGAAGATGACGGCTCAACAAATAATGGACGCGAAGGTTTGGCGGATTCGAAAGGCCACAGAGAAGCCGAGAGGAGGTGAAGGGAGAGGATTTCATAATTCGAATTTCTAGTATTCCTGCAGCTCAGTATGGCCTACATATGTCCGGAACAGCATTTCATAGTTCGAATTTCTATGGCATCTTTCTATTTATAGAAAGAGCAATTCCACTTATTTTTCATACGTAATTGGTATGAAAAATTTACTAATGCTCTTGTCAAAATTGGTGTTCGACAGTCACGTGCGGACAATGATCTCACCCACATTTCTCAAATCAAGCACCATCAAGGACCTCAACACGGTGAACACGCTCAAATACTTTCGTGGCATAGAAGTTGCTCGTTCGCCTGCCGGGATCATTCTTAGCCAGTGGAAATATGCTTTGGATATATTGCGAGAAAGCAGCATGCTCGGAAGTCGGCCAAGTCCAACTCCCATGGAACAAAATCTTAAAAGTTACTTCGCAAAAAAAAAAAAAAATCTTAAAAGTTACGACCTGGTGATAATAGTGTTCTTGTTGATACAGCTATGTATGCGACTCATAAGCCGTTTGTTATATCTGACTGTCACAAGACCTGATATCGTCTTTCCAGTGAATCAGCTCAGTCAGTTTCTTTCACAACCCCGCCAATCGCATCTTGATGCGGCTCATCGTGTCCTTCGATATCTCAAAGCCACTCCGGGACTGCGCATTTTCCTCTCATCATGTTCAGATCTTTCATTAGAAGGCTTCCGTGATGCTGATTGGGCTAGTTGTTCTTTCACCCGACGCTCCAGTTCTGGTTACTTCATCACTTTAGGCGGTTCACCTATTTCCTGGCGTACAAAAAAAAATTGTGGTGTCTCGTTCGTCTGCTGAACCAGAGTATCGGGGTATGGCGGTTGTTGTTAGCGAAATTGTTTGGCTACGTTGGTTACTTCGTGATTTTTGAGTTTTTTCTGTCACACCCACATCACTAATTTTTGACAATATTTATGTTGTAAAGTCATTTGTATTTCTTGATGGTCTTGTGTTCTTTCTTTTTTATTCTTGAACTCATTAAAACTCTTGAACTTTTTGGAACATTTTGCTTTACTCGAGGACGAATAAAGAACTATGTGTGGGGGAATTGATATCTTTGCAATTTTCATATGTATGTTTATGTTTTTAGCTAGTTTCATTTTTGATACTTTGGAAATTACACACTTTTGGTGTAATATTTTAGTTTGTTAAATTATTTGTAATTTGTTTAAATTAGGATTATTCTGAGATTGAGATATGTCAAAATCATCCCAAGAATCAAAGGATGGATCCTAAAGATCAAAGAATGTGCAAAAGGGAGAAGATCAAATGAAAATTTTGAATTCGTTCGTGTATGTATTTGGTCAAGTATTGGCAACACTCGTGCGAGTATTGACTGGATACGCTGGTCGAAATCAAATCTGGGAGCAAAAGAACGTGGGTGAATATTTGATGAAAATCTGGTGTCATACCTGATCGAATATCACTCAATACTCGGTCGAGTATGCCTATAATTCGCAACTTCCTGGAAACTACCTCTTGTACTCGGTCGAGTATCTCATATACTGGATCGAGTACAGCATCCTACCATCTCCATTTTGCAAAAAATGCATCCCTTTTCCTTCACATTAAAATCACCAATTCACATATAATTCTAAGCTCAGTTTAGACAAGTATTTTCTTTTATATTTTCTAGTATATTTTCTAAATGAGGAGCTAAATTCTTCCATCTTGGTTTTGCTACTTTGAAACTTAAAGGATGAACTATTTTTGTTTCATATAATAATTATTACTAAAATCGATAAACCGCTTATGTTGAGGTTATCAATCTCAATCGTTTTCATCTTAAGTTTATTGCTACTATCGGGTTAATATACGACGCGTGTTCTATATTGACTCGGTAGTAAGTTTTATTAAGGAATCGTTATTAATAATTACCCTCGATGAATTGGAGATACTCCTCGATTGAGTATTCGAGAATTGGAGATACTCCTCGATTGAGTATTCGAGAGGAATCGAACACGGTCCAACTGAAGCTTGTTTGTTTCCTACCAATGGGCTACGTATGACAATTGGTTGTTTAGGATGCTTACCTTTCCTTATACCTTGTGAATGTGTTCCATTTAATTGAGCTTTAATTAGTCTATTAAAGTTATTAAATAATTAGTCTATGAAATAAATTATTGGAATTTTATCAATTCAGGACCCGAAAGTTAAACGAATTATCAATCCGGGACCTAAAAGATGAAATGCTATCACTTTGGGACCTGAATGATTACAACTATCAATCTACGACCTAAGTTGTCATAAATTTTGTAATTTTTTTATTTTGAAAATTTAAAATATTATTTAGTTTTATTAAACAAAATAATAAAAAATTAGTAATGGAATTAATAAAAAATTAAACAAATCAAAACCTATGAAATGTTATGTCCTAAAATGAAAATTTTCCATCATTCGGGTCCTGTATCGATACGTTTCATCTTTCGGGTCCTGAATTGATAGTTAATCTATCTTTCAAGTCCTGAATTGATAAAATTCCAATTTTATAATAAAAATTATAGTTTTCTATTTATTCCTCAATCTGACATTAGCTATGTCATCTTTATTTTTTATTTTCTCTTATTTTGTAATTGGTATTATGTATTATGTGCATATTTAAATTATTTATCACAAATGTATTTTACATTTTGTTAAAACTAATATACTTTAATAAAATATAGTTTTTTTTTCATTAATAATATTCTATTCTCAATATTAAATTAAGAAATGATATAGGTTTTCTATTCTTGATTTTTATTTTATATATAAATATGTGTATTGGTGTTGACCGGGTTTACCGGTCGTTGACCGGGTTGACCCACCGAGTCCGGGTTGACCCGTGACCCAATCATTTGTCCGGGTCACTCACCGGTCCGGTTCTTACAACATAGATATTCATCTCTATTAAGTAAACCACATAAATCGTTCATCTTAGTGTTAATTGAATTAAATCAAATCAAACTTAAAATCCGCCTTTTGTTACTAATTAATTAAGAAGCAAAATATTCTTTTCCCTGCGGATACAAATCTTACTACGCTATACTATGTATTAGTGTTGTATTGTACTTATTATTTTGACACATCACGACATAGTACTCGTCAATAAACATGATTAAATAATAAATTTGCCACTACATTAACATAAGTCCATGAAGGGCCTCTGTTCACAGCCTTCCAATTACAGTATATATACGAGGACACAAATTGGTCTGCTCTTCTTTGTATTGTTCCCAAATCTGGAAGGAAACATATAGGAAATGAGAATGATAAATCATTTTGAAGATTTAGAAAAGGGGCACCAAATTTACTTTAGATTTCTTCACCTTAGGTTTTGCTCGGTTAAAGTTACAACCATTGTGTAGTTTTTGTCCTAAAACACTTGCTTTGCCTAGCAGCTAAAACTTGAAACATTATCTCCTTGTTGAGTTTGATTTGAAGAAACTCCTATACTTTTGATAACCTGTTGGAACAAACATGTATTCAACATGTAGTGAAACTTCATTCTAAAGATCAAGAAATAGGAGCGCTGAAATTACTTAAATTTCTTCACCTAACATTTGCTTCATTAAATGTTAAATCTTCCTGCACTTCTTTGCTTGAAAAACTTTCCTTTCCTTCTCCGGAAGCGTTATTATTTTTTGTCTTAAGTTTATACGAAGTACTTTTTTGAAGTAGTTCATCACTAGACTCAACTTGAAATCATGACCAAATCCAATCTCATGGTTCATTTTCCTGCAGCTCTTAATACTAGAAAAATGCAATTTCAAAGCATTTTAGTCAAGAATATTGAGTACGTCCATTGAAATAACATATGTATTATAACCATAGACAAAACTACTTCATAAATATTAAAATAAAATATTACTTTATTAAATTATAAGAGCATATGCCACAATAGAATATTGAGCTAGACACATGAAATTGTTAAAACTGGCAAAATGAATTCAAATGTTTAGTAATTTATCTTTAAAGCCATATTACGAATAGTCGAATACATAACAAATTGGATACTCTAAGCAAAAGGGGATACAATTTTAACTTGAATAGGAAAGGTTTTAACTTGATTAGGAAAGTTTGCAATTGCAATATGTAATTAACTCAGAAGAGCATGTGATTATCATATGTACAAGTAATTAACTTTAATACACACACATGACACATCAAGTTTTAGGAAACACTTCCTTGCTATATTTAAGTTGCTACTTTTTACCATCTCAAGTGAATTCAAGTCTTAAGGCTCTGTTTGGATAGAATTATTTCAAAAGTCTATATAATAAGATTTGGGGTAAATTGCAAATTCATCTAAAGGATACAGACACAATAAATTTGGTGTGCAGAATTTGTTTTTTTTGTTAACTACACATGCAATTAAAGAGGATACAGTTTCTCCATTCATTGGAAGTGTATAATCAAGTAGCAATAAAAAGATAAGAAGCATAAATACAATAGTTAAAGCAGAACAACAAATACGGAGTGACAGGAACATTCTGCATTCAGCATAGTAGATAGAGGCATCAATACACACCAAATAGGTCACGAGTGCATACAGAACGGTTTCTAAATAATTTGAGTACATGATGATTACTGAGAAGTGGCATAGCTAAGGTGAAAGGTGGTTACTGAGTAATAGCAGCAGCCCACAGCGTACACTAATTAACAATGGGGCTTATGATAGGCGATGAATCCGATGCCCAACATCAAAGTCTTCATCAAGAGGGTGATGAAGACTTGACCGATCACAGGAAAGGCAACCATGAGAACCTGTATTAACTGCAAAATATCACAAGCAAAAGGAAGACACATTTAGTTGGTTAAATTCTGCAACCTGCAAGGACAAAAGAAGAAGAAGAAGAAGAAGAAGAAGAACAGCGAGATATCTATTCATAAGAGACAACACATTGAATTTGGGTGATATAGCCACCATACATACCTTCCCCATCACAGCCAAGCAAGCAGCAGCTGTGAACAGTAGTGTTAGTTGCTACAAAAGGTTTCTTGGATGAAACTGGACATGAGAGTTCAGTAAAGAAGAGCATTGTGGGTCCATTTGAGTGGACGGGCTTGGCAGTAAAGTTGGAATGAGCCTTAACAATTGATGTCATGCGTTTGATGAATGAGGTGCAATCCCTTGTTTCCACCAGCTCATAGGTAGCACCATCCTGGGTAAACACAGCAGCCCCTACTATCATTACTCACTCCACATTCATTTTGATAGTAATTGTAATAGTAATGAAGTGCTAACCACTCTTCGAAAAGAAATTAACTTGAACACTTATCCTCTTGAATAATATATATAATAGCCACTAACCCCAGCATAGGGAGCTTTGTTGGTATTGTAGTATTCAAGTCCAATCTCAGCAATCCTCTGGCACGTCGCATCCATGGTTTCTAGTTGCTTTTTAGTCCACTGAAGTGGCGGCGGACCAAGACCTCCATGGTGCTTGACAGGTTGCCTCTTAGGCCTACACAGCCATCCAGATATTACTCCTTCCGTCCCATTAGACTTTTACAACTTCCTCTTATTGTTTGTCCCAAAAAAATGTCATTTTTCTTTTAAAGCAATGAATTTGTGACTCTATCCATTTTCTTTGTCATCTGCATTAACTCAATCATTTTTTTCCCTTTTTCAATTTCCTACTCAACATAAACTTGGCAAAGTTGACTGAGACGAAGGTAATATATGATAAATAAACAAAAAATCAGTGAATTTCACACATTTGGCCAGACATACATAATCATCTACATACACCTATAACAAAGCTACAAAACCTTCAACCAATCAATTACTACCTCCGTCTCATTTTATGTGTCTCATTTGACTTTGACCCAATTATCAATAAAGTGATTGAAAAGGTAAAAAATTGTGGTTGAAATTTCAGTATAATAAAGTGAACTGATGTTAACAACATATTTGTTTCTAAAAATATAAATGTGACATTTATTTTGAGACAATTCAAAACGGAAAGTAAGGTAGGTAAAATGGGACGGGCGAGTAAATGAATAGATAGCAAAATCAGTGTTACCCTGCATCTTTCATCCTCTGACCAGATCTACCACGCCTTTTTGTTTTGGAAGGTCTAATGGCATAAAGGTACATATGTTAGTCAAACTCTAGTGTATAGACTTACATATGTGTGTGCATATGCATACATACGTATATATATGTGTGTGTCGACACCTTAAAGCACATAAGCACTGCGGTAAAAATCACTTATCACATTAAAAATTTTACCTTGAAGATTCACAAAAAATACGTTGGAAGAAAATTTTACCTGCTTTCAGATCCGTATATTGTTCTCGATCTTAATCTGTAGACCTCCGCATTCTTCATTGTTTCTTGTTCGCTTGATTTTCTTTATGAGGCTCAAGAGAAACGAAAGAGTGAGAGAAATATGTGCGACGGTTAAGCAAAAATAAATAAATAAATATATAAATGAATATATATATATAAAATAAATAAATAAATAAATAAATAAATAAATAACATCAATTTTACCTCTCTGCGAGCGGTGTGAATTTGACCAGGAAAGAGAAGACGGTATCAGCAAGGAGAAACGGGCTCTATAAATCGCGTAATGAGAAGCGATATCAATAAGCGATTCTAATGCTCTAGGGTTCTAGAGTTGCAAAAAAAGAAATTAGGAAACAATTACAACGGGTATGGAATTACCAAAACCTGGACTTGTGGCCAAGAGTCGAGAGAATATGATGGTGCCCTTTTAAGAAAAGAGAAATTATGATTTTATATTAAATTCGTAAATTGTGAATGAAGGAAAAGGTATACCTGGTAATCAAATATGGTATGAAAAACTTAGGGCACCCCAGATGTTCTTCCATGGCCGGTTCAGAGCCTTAACCCGATTAGCTTCCATTCAAAACAGCCCATCCAACCCGGTTTAGGGGCGCCGTTTGGGCTCCAAGCCGAGCTGCAGAAGATGACGGCTCAACATATTATGGACGCGAAGGCTTTGGCGGCTTTGAAGAGCCACAGCGAAGCCGAAAGGAGGAGAAGGGAGAGGATCAATAATCATCTTGCGAAGCTGCGAAGTCTTCTTCCCAACACAACAAAGGTATTATTGTGGGCCGCCTTACTTTCTTGGATTTAATTTGTTTATTAAGGGGGTGTTTGGATCTGATTCTCTAAACTGATTCTGCTCCTTCAGGGAGCAGAAGCAGAAGCTGGAGTGTTTGGGTGAAATTCCAGAAGCACTTCTGGAGCTCTAATTTACTCTCAGAATCAGTTTTTTTAGAAGTTGTGAGGTACCAGCTTCTGAAAACTGATTCTGATTCTGCTTCTACTTTTAAAAAAGAAGCAGAAGCAGAATCAGTTCCAAACACCCCCTAAATTAATCAGAAAAGTGTCACTTTGGTACATCAAGTTGTAAGCGGAGGTGTAAAGAGTAAATTATTGTGCAATTGGAATTCAAAGGTACATTAAATCGCCGCAACATTGCTAATTTAGTCCATCGGGCTATTAGGGAGTTTAAAACGCCTAGCTGGCAAGATTAGCCTAAATGGTGTCGCCAAGTCAACTTAAGTAGGTTACCTCTGACCTGGGCATGACCATTGACGTGCACTTTGTCGTGGTGTGCACTCAAAATAATAATACAATACAACAATTATACGTAGTATAATGAAGTAAGGTTCGTATCCGCAGGGAAAGGAATACTTCTCTTTTTATAAACTAGTAAAAAGGGGGGGTTTTAGATTGAGTGAATGAACTTAAATTATATTTAAACACAAAGATGAACGAGTTATGTGGTTTAATTAATGAGAAAAAGACTTGGCTTTGCTTTTATCCACTTAATAAAATGTTCGTCGATCCCGGTTATATCTTTGACTATCTTCCTCTCGAATACTCAATCGAGGAGCATATCCAGTTCATCGAGGGTAGTTATTAATAACGAGACGCGTTCATTAATAAAACTTCCTACCGAGTTAATATAGAACACGCGCCATATATTCACTCGATAGTAGCAATAAAATAGAGATGAAAACGATTGAGATTGATAACCTCAACACAAGCGGTTTATCGGTTTAATCAATATAATTAATCCCCCTTAGGTTGTAACCATGAGACGCATGCATTAACAACCCAAGTTTACTACCGTGAAAGGATCGAATTAATAACAAGCGTATTAATCGACCGATTCTAGTATTAATTAATATATGAAACAAAACTAGTTGATCCTTTAAGTAATGCTCAAAATATTAATGTGTAATATTTAAGGAAGAAGATTAAAGAAAATAACTCACAACTTACAATTCATTAAGCTTCAAAGTAGCAAAACCAAGATGGAAGAGTTTATCTCCTCATTTGGAGACTAAACATGATGAAAAATATAAAGAAAGAACTTGTCTAAACTGAGCTAAGAAGTATATAGGAATTGGTATCTAATTGTGAAGGAAAGGGGGTGTATTTATAGGCTTTTTGGGGTGCAGGTCGGGTACTCGATCGAGTATATACATGTACTCGATCGAGTATATGTAGAAACCTGAATTCGATCCATACTCGATCGAAAGTAGGGTAAAATTTAGAGCTATACCCGATCGAGTATGTCGGTGTACCCGATCGGGTATAGACACTCGATCGTGGTCAAAATCTTCCCTGCATGTTCCTTTGTTTTCGGATCCGATCCGATTTGAAATTTCAACAAGATACCCGATCGAGTATAGGTGATACTCGACCGAGTATAGACCAAAAAATCAGGAACAATTCTTTGTCTTGTGATTTTGCACCTTCCTTCCACTTTCGGGGTTCACCAACTGTCCTTTGAGTGATAGTAGACCTGTTTGAGCTCAGAATAAACCTAATCTAACAATTTACAAGAATTTAACAAACTAAACTATTACACCAAAAGTGTGTAATTTCCGAAATAGTAAACAACCAAAACTAACTAAAAACGTAAATAAACACACGGAAATTACAAGTGTATCAACTCCCCCACACTTAGTTCTTTACTCGACCTCGAGTAAAATAGAAATATCAAACAGTTTAAGAGTTTTCCAAGAGTTCAAGAAAGAAAGAAACTAAGACCACCAAGGGGAAAAATGAGTTTTTACAACAACATTCTTTCTTGGATTTAATGATCTTCTATGCTCCATCTTCTTGCCTCTTTTTCTTCTTCTCTTCTTCTTCTCCTAAGAGATGAAATGAGTGCCTGCAAAAACACATATTTCTCTCATATCTCTCATTTTTGCCTAGGAGCCTTTTCAGGTGTTCATCCTAGCATCTCTTTTCATTTTCCATTCTTCCCACTCACTCATTTTTTTAAGCCCTTTTTGCTTAGATTGCCCATTTTGTTGGGTTTTCAACCTAACTAGCATTTCTATTCTTTTATTTATTCTATTTTTTCCTTTTTTTTTGTTTACAAAGACTAAAAGAAATTCATGCATAGTAAAGGGTAAAAATAAGGTGACATACCCATGATGAGTCTCCTCCCCCACACTTATGTGAAGCACTGTCCCTAGTGCCCACCTTCTCCGCCATAGTAGCCGCCTCCAAAGCCGCCTTCATAGCCCCCGTCGCCCATGTGAGCATCTCCGCCGTCCCCGCCATCATAACCTCCACCGTCGGAGCTAGATCCTCCAAAGTTACCCCATTGAGTGGGGTCATACCAAGAGGGGGGTGGGGGTGTTTGAGCCATAGTATGGAATGAGCCTTGATGCGCTATGTAAGAGTACATAGGTCCATAGAACCTACATTGATCTTCTTCGTACCTCTGGTTGTCTTCAACTCGTTGCTCCTCAAGTCTTGGAAATCCCGCCCTTTGTTCCTCCCGATACTTTTCAACTTCGTTGGTAACTTTGTTGAATCCTTCAAGTAGTTGTTGGAAGTAATCGGGTGGAGGAGGGATTTGGTTTTGCTCGGGGATGTCCGCTTCCATGTCTTCATGATCATGGGATCCGTCATAAGGCTCGTCCTCGGGTTGGTCTTGTTGAGGTTCTTGGAGATTTGGTGGAAGGGCGTGTGGGAATAGGTAGTGGGGCACCTCTACCTCCGGTTTGTAGAGTAATTTGGGAAGGTCTGGGCTAGGCATTAGGAAGTGTTGGATAGGTTGGGCGTGTATGATCCAGTTATACATGTTTTTAGGTTGTTCCCCATCATAAATTGTATGGGAAAAAGTCGTGCATCCTGAACGTCCTAACCAAGCCATATCCATCAAGCAATAGTCGGGTATAGGAGAGTTATCTGTATACCCGAACTTACTCACTAAGTGCATAATCACCCCACCCACGACAATGGCCCCTTTCGCTAAGCTTTCCTTTTTCAAATGTGCCCACATAAGATTGCACAGATTAAAGTCCACATGACGACGGAATAAGGCCACAGATATCAAACATACGTCCCCTATCCTAGTGTGGTGGTTGTTGGGGCGCCCAAGCAAGCAATTGGCTAGAAATTTCAAGAACCGGAGGATGGGGTGTTGGACATGACTAATATACATTTGGAAGGAGCTAAATTTCACTTCCCCGGTCATCTTTGTCCATAGGGAATGCCCGAAAATAGTGTTATCGGAGATGGCTCTTTCGTAGGGAACGGGAATGCCAAAATGTTCGGCAAACTCAAGTTTCGTTATTGAATAGTTTTGGTTAAACAGACGAAACTTGAGTCTATCATCCCTAAAATCAGCCTCATCACTTTCAAATTGCACCAAACTCATGAATTCATAGATGATTCGTTCATTAGAGTTGTATTTCATTTTGAAGATACGGTCCATGCCCAACTCATGAAAGAATTTTCTACAACTCTTATATACCCCTAATTCACGGAGAGCATCATGACATAGAAAACGAGATGGTTTTACTTGCCTTTTAATTGTTGAGAGGAGTCTAGCTCGGTGATCATTGTCGGCGGGTATGAGGTCCTCGAAGCCCGGAATGGGTGCCATGGTGTTTGAGCTCTCTCCCCTATTCTTCCTTGGAGCCATTTTTGAAGCTTTTGAGCTTAAAAAATCAAAAATTCGAATGGGGGGTAGGATTTTTGGATTTGTTGGATATTTGGGGAAAAGGGGATTTGTGGGTATAGATATGGAGAGGAGAGTGAGGGGAGTATTTTGGTGGAGGAATGGGTTGATTTGGTGGAGAAATGAGAGAGATATGGTAGAGAGAAGGTCCAAAAATGGAGTTTGGGGGGGTTGGTTCGAAGTTGGGATGAGATTTTTTGGAGAAGATGAAGTGTTTTGGGGTTGATTTAGGGGTTAAATCGCAGGTATACCCGATCGAGTATCCCCCTATACTCGATCGGGTACTGGAGACAGGGGGCGAATAAGTGGGTTTTCCAGTCATACCCGATCGAGTATGGGTGGGTACTCGATCGGGTGTCAGAGGCAGGGTCAGTTTATGATCATTTTTCCAGCTATACACGATCGAGTAAGGGTTTATACCCGATCGGGTATGCTTCCATTTGCAATTTTTGAGCCCGGTACTCGATCGAGTGTTGGAGGCAGGCTATTTTATCTTTTAATTTTCTACGAATACTCGATCGAGTACGGATTGATACTCGATCGGGTATACCTGGTTTTTGTAAAAACATTTGCTCCTTTGATCGAGTACTGCATTGGTTTCTCTTTTTGACCAATACTTGACCGGGTATTTGAGTATACTCGATCGAGTATTGGTCCACCCTCTTTTTTTTTTACACACACACACTGCTGAAAGCAAATGAAAAGTAAACATACCTTGCTTGGGTTGCCTCCCAAGAAGCGCCTTATTTAACGTCGCGGAACGACGCCACAGTGTTGTTCATCCTTCACGGATTGGATCGACGAGATCGATGCATTCAACGCTTTCTTTTGGGAAGCCTTCAAG